GTGTATATATATATACATAGGCACTTTCTTCTAGATATTCTAGATATTTAGCGCCTTTGGGTATTCATAGATTAATACTACATTATTGGTGTCAGCGAATGTACCCGTTAATTAGTAAGCCGTTTTAGATCATAGCTAACAAAGACAACCTCACCAGTTTTGTCATTCGTATTTATTTAAGATTTTAATTAAAAAACCTTGAGCAGCTGTCGTAAGCTTTGATCAGTCTGAAAGAGGATCCTAATTTTTTTCATTTCATGCTGAGAGCAGATTAATAAGGCTGAGCATAACACAGTCAATACGTCAGTTCTTATTGGTATTATTTGTTGATTTTAGGACTGTCATAATATCAGGGAAAGTAGAGCCCTTTAAGGCATCATAGGCGTTTGAGCCCAAACATTTTCGCAAACGCAAATTAAAGTCTTTTCAGTATTCAAAACATCCTTTCAAACGGAAAAAAAGAGATTTTCGAAACTAGACTTTTCTCTTGACAGGAAAGATAAACAACAACAAGTAAAGAGTTATATCGTGAACTTCCTTTCAAACGAAAAAAAGGAGATTTTTAAACTAGACTTTTTTCTTGACAGGACAGATAAACAACAAGTAAAGAGTTATATCGTGAACTTCCTTTCAAACGAAAAAAGGAGATTTTTTAAACTAGACTTTTTTCTTGACAGGAAAGATAAACAACAAGTAAAGAGTTATATCGTGAATTTTACAAATTTAAGTCTGTGAAATGAAGTCCATTCTATTATTTAGACTAATGAAAACAAAACAATAGGCTTTTACACTTCTTTTTTCCTAAATTTAAACGAAGTTTTAAAAAATAAGTTTTCATTGTTGAATGTCAGTCGTCGAAACATCATTTTCCAACCGAATACTTTTTAAGTTTTTTATACTTCTTCGATGACTCTCGTGTTCAAAACTATGGATTTTAGATAKGAGTTTCTTTGAACAGGTATTCCGCATGCACTTGTGGTAAATAACAATTTGGTGGGGTAAAATGCTGTGTAGCAGGTAATGAAATTCAAGATGTCATGCCATGGGCCTCTTTTCGACAAGCGGCTGCTAGTTTAACGTCTGATTGCGAAAATAGCTTTCGATGGGTAGAAATGAATATATTTGTTTTGCGAGTAGGATATGAGAAAGTTTTAGCCAATCAGGATTGAGTTTGATATGCAGCATCGACTTGGTGACAAAGTAAAAGCAAATATTATTTTTTTCAGGCCAAAATTAGTAGTTTTGTGCCTACGTTACGTACACACGAACTGGAAGTACATTTCTAATAAATTAATCATAACTTAATAAAAAATATTAGAGATATCCATGCACGTTGTATGAAATGTTCATCCCTTAGTTTGTCACCCAGAGAAACCAGTCCATTGATATAACTTAAGTCATTCTTATTTTCTTTTAGAATTATATATTTACTCAAACTCATTCGGTTAGGCAATTTATTATTTAAAATTCAAGAATCCACTTTTGACAGTATTTACACGGATAGTTTTAGCATTAACCAAGTCAAGCTCATGAAGCAGCAGGTGAATTTTATTTATCATATTCAGTTTTAGGAACCTGGAGACGAGTCAGGATGGATTATTTTTTATTGCTCATCTTTCCAGGTGCATCTGGGAGATTAGCTCTAGACTTAACCAAGAGGAAAAGTTGCATCACAAGAACTCATGATGGTCACCAAAATTAAAGGGCTGGCTCTTTTGGTCTCGATAGTCGTCCTACAGATAACCAAGGTTAGTTTATATTGCTCGTTTTACGAAAGTTTCAATTCCACATATTTTTTATATATATTTATCTATTATTTTTATTTTTATTATATATTTTTTACATTTAGTTTGCATTGATTATTTTAATTGCACTCAAAAAAGAATTTCTAATAAAATGGAATGTATGTTTTGAAAATGTCTAGTTTTTCATTGACAACAATTAATATACCGTAGTTTGGAAAGCAATGATTAAACTTCTAAAAGATCACCTTACATTTATTATGTGCTGTTTTCAGTCCAAAATATGATTCTTTTTCCCCACTTCTTATTCTTTTCTTTTCTTTTTTTCTTTCAGGGAAAAAAATCAAAATTTAATGGTAAGCTTAAAACTTATCCTTTTAATTATAGCACATTTTGCGTTTTAATTTTGACACTGTTCACGATTAAAGCCGTCAAAGTTATTCACTTAAAACAAAAATAGCTTAGTTCACTAGCTTTATCTTACTAAAATATGTCTTGATTTGCACGAGCGATAAAAATGGCTTTGTTCCATCGATAATCGTTCATCGAACAAACGTTCGGTTCTATACAGTTATCATTCGCTATCCAGTAAAAATAAATGACTAAAAAATATCTTGATTTGCGCGAGCGATAAAAATGACTTTGTTCCGTATATAAAATATCACAAATTTACCATTCGCTATTTAAACTATAAAATAGAAAATATGAATTAATACTGCTCGTGTGACAAAAAAAGTTAAAATAATTAAATAAACTATATCTAAAAATTTTATTCTGAYGTGTCGGAAACACAAATTTTAGTATGATTAAAACCTGTCGTTTTGAAGACTCAGGGTTAAATCTACTCAAATTTTGCAATTTATTAAAATATAGAATCTTTGGTTCTTCAAGTACTACTGGTTTTCATCCTGTTCTACATTTTTTTATAAAACTAATAAAAACGGAAAATTTCCAACGAGAAACGGAGAGTGAGAGAGAAAGAGAAAGCGGGCAAGGTGACGATGTGATGAATACGATAGCTGTTTTCATTACGTTTCGGTCTTGATGCTGATAAAGCCAGGAAAAGATAAAGGTTTCAAATAGTCGCCGATAAAATTGACAATCCATTAGAAAAACATACAACTGATATAAACAGAAAACCAGTGCACCTTCATAAAACACTTGAGCAGTAAGTGACGCGCAATGAAATATATCGATCGAACACGGATATAAGGATAACAAGATACACGCGCTCGCACGTTCAGATATATATATATATATATATAT